TGCCGCAGCCCCACCGCGGGCCCTCCCCGCGCGCGCCTACAGGGGGCGTTGGCGCCCCGCGGGGGGCACCCGGCCGCCAGCCTCGGGGCGCGGAGGACCCGGACCGGAGCTGGTTCCCTCTGCGCCTCTCGAAGGGTCGGGCGGAGCCCTGAGGCTGGTGCTCACCCCAGGACCGGGACGGTGTTGTCACACGTGTCACAAGGAGGGGCCGCGTGGCGTCGCAGTCCGCTTTCCAGTCTCCGCGGCAGGAGGATTTGGCGCCTGGCTGGGAGGCTTTGCTTGACTCAACCGCCACTATGGGGCTGGGAGGTGGAGCTCTTCCTTTCTCTCCTCGCGGAGCAGCACGAGGCGTCGGAAAGTTTCCTACCACTTGGGGGACGGAAGCGGACGAAGTGCGAACCTTGCTTCCTGGCTGGGATGGCCCGAAAGGACCAAACGTCTCGCTGGCGAGCTGTGCCCTCGGCTCCCTCGGCACGCGCCCCAAATGCACAACCCTTCCCTGGCCGAGGGGACCCGAGGCCGCCTAGGAAAAGGCCCCGCGGACGTGGCGGCCCTGGGCTGGGGGCCGTGGGGGTGGGGGCCAGGGAATCCGTTGCCCGCGCCTCACCCCGGGCCGGCCCCTGCCCAGCCGCGCCCTCCTTCTTGCTCGGTGGGGTCTTGCGAGCCCTCCTACGGGGGATTGCCCACCCGGCTGCCTCGTCCCAGGAGGAAAGTGGGCGGCCAACGTTCCCAAAGGAACAGAGTTCGTGACCTCTCGGGGCACGGATGGGACTCGGTCAGGCCCAGGAGTTCTGCAAAGACTCCAGAGGGGCGCCCACGGCCGGAAGTGCTTTCTAAGCAGACCTGATCTTATGAAACTCCGAGCCCCGGGGTGTCCACGTCCCTTTCTCACTCCAGGAGTTCAGCCGAGCTTTTGCGTAGTGACCGTCCGCCCACTAGACCTAGACCCAGACCCAGCAGCCCGACCGAGGCCAGAGGTGTGCAGTTTTTTTTTAAGACCCACGCCTTATAAATGTGAGATTTTTATCAGGCAGCACAGATTACTTAAAGCGTTCCGTTTCTCCGCGATCCAATTTTATTAGGATTTGCTCTCATTTGTGCTCGACTTCTCAGGGGAAATAATGCTTTGATTAATGTAATCCTGGCCCGGGATCCGCCACATGCCCCTCGACCCTCTCCCAAGAGAAAGGGCCTGTTTGACAAACAATAACAGAGCAGCAACTCTTGCAATCTGCCCACACCTGGGGGGGGGGAGTGACACACGTTCACGCGCCTCTTGCTAAACGTAGTGGCCAGG